TTTGTCTTTGGTTATGTTTACTCGCATAACAATACCACCGTAGATAGTCTGTGGTAGCGATATTGTTATGGGAAGACGCCTACGAGTAAGTTGTCGACGCAGCAATTTTTTTTAATATAGCATTTGAGATCTTAGTGTTCTCACCGAGTGGAATTTGGTTTTTCGTTCAAAGATACCGATGTATTTCATGATAATTTATATCGTTCAACTACATATTGGCCACAGCATCTGTGAAGATGTACCGTATTTTTTTTTGGTGGCTGATAGAGTCCTACAGCAGGGTGGCATTTCATTTGCCTATGTGTATATCCTATCTATATTCTTCGTTCTATCCAGCGAATGGTGCGTTTTAATTTAGGTATAATTTATTTTATTTCCAGATAAGACACTCGGTGATAGTCCAGTTACTATGACTTCGGACTTTTTAAGGCGGCTAGTACTAATGAGTCTTCTTACGTACGTCGTATTTTACTAATGACTAAGTCTTCCAAACTTACATAAATCACTTCACATTTGTTCTTGATATAGTCTCTGATTATCCAGTACGGGTGAAAGGCGCAGGAGCTTGTATTAAGAATAAAATGCAATAGAATTCAAGCATTGTATCGAGGGTATTTCCTCACAATCTAAATTTTGTAAAAGTAGTCCACTAGTGTCATTACGACTTGACACCCACGAAAGGCAGTTTGCAACGTGTTTAAAAAGGGTTAATAGTCAATTCAGCGGTACAGCAGTAAGTAATGTGTTGAATATTAACCTTTATGACTTAAGACCTTTACGAGCGCAAATTGTTTGTGGACCATTGGGGTTTTGGCTGATTTATTTAAGTCAAGTTTTTCTGTCAACTTATAATTAAAGTTGTAAATAAATATTTTAAAATAACAAGTGTAGTGATATTTCATGAATTTTGTAAAATATACACTTAGGTCATAAAGAAATTTTCTATATTTATATACTACAATACAGAAATTTTTTTTTTTTTTTTACGGTGGTAGGACCACGCAGCATCCTCGGCTGTTGCACGAATGGGCAGGCCCATCCGGGTAAGTACCACGACCTCACAGAAGACCAGCGTAAAGTGGAAGTATGACAAATACTTTCACGTTTCGTATGGTGAGTGAGGTAGCCGGAGTCCAATTTTCAAAAGGTTGTCAACGCATCTGTGACCCCCGGGTGTAGCAAATGGCGTTCATGGGCGGCGGTATTCACTTACTATCAATGTATGGTGAATCGTCGTCGTCAGGTGCTCGTTTGGCAACTTTTCGCATAAAATAAAAATAAAATAAACACGTTATGTTCAAAATTACAGCACTAGTCAAAAGTAAAAACTCAAAATATTTAATTAAATTTATCCAAGCAATAAGGTAGGCCAAATATACCACTGGTACAAATTATATCGGTCATATCTTTAAATTTGTTTGGATAATTGATTTTGTCTATCGTCCCTTTTTTTTCTTGCATCTTGATTTTCGCTTCCTCGTTCTAAAACTGAGCGTTGCAATGGGCAACCGAAGCGGCCCATTAGAGGCGATTGGCCCTCGAGGAGCTACGCGGGCAGTTTAACACTAGAGTGCCGTTAGCCAACAATGGTAAGGATTTGGCGGGACCTCGCGACACCCGCAATTGACTGGGGGGCATTACAGCTCGAGTGGCCACTCGTCGCCCCCGCGAGTGCATTTTGAGTGCAACTGACGCATTCCGTAGGCCTGCAAGCGTCTGCGCCGACGGCTAATGGAGCGGAGACAAATGAAAACACAACTTCGCCACGATTCCGTGCGGAATCGTTGTGGCGGCGTATATAAGCTGTGTAAGCGGAGATTATTGTGGTATTATAACATAGCTCATTGATGACTCGGTGGCGCCGTTGGTAGGCTGTTGGCTTTGGCGTCGCCGGTCTTAGGTTCGATTCGTGCGAGAACATGTATTTGTGTGGCCCACAAATAATTGTTCCGAATCTGGGTGTTTGTTTCCCAAGGAGGGTTGACGTCAGGCAGGCCGGTCGTAAAAAAAACAGTTGAAACCGCTTACAACATGATTCACACGTTGTACCAACCCCACCTAGGTGGGATAAGAGCATGAGGATAGAAAAAATATAACATAGCTCATTATCGCCACAAATCATTAGATCATGAAGCCATCATTAAGACCACTCGAGATCCCAGACGAGTCCATATAACAAGAGACAACACTAATTATTATGAAAATGGATATTAAGATTTATATTATTCTTGATCAATTATTTATTTATATTTTTTCCTTTTTGAACTAAGTCAGCTACATATTTTAAAAAGAAGAGTAGATCTTGGACATAACAAATATGTCTTGTTTCATATATGCATCAAATTCAAATATGAAAAAAAAAATCATATTTGAAATTTATTTAAGTTACACTTATTTAGTTCCTAGAGACGCATAGTGGGCAAGTCATTGTGTTATTTTTTAATGTAGGCTTATTTCAGTATACAGTGTAAAATCGAGTAGAATAAATATAGACTTCTTTTTCAAGCACGTATCAAATCTTAGGATATTTAGATCCTCATAAATTTAAGTTAAAGTTGTGAGTACTTAAACAGGTAGACTTAGATTTATACGCTATAGATATATCATTTTATTTATTTGTTTATTTAAACTTTCTGCACAAATATTTATGTACAAAGGCGGACTTAATGCCATCAGCATTATCTCCCAGTCAAACTTGGGGTGGTACACAAAAGTTAAGGTAGGTGCATTTATTACAAATTAAAAAAAAAAAAAAGCAATCATAAGATTTTTTTAAATATCTACATTACATATTAAACCAACTAACAAAATACTCCACTGATAATATCAGATAAAACTATACAATACCATACATATATATAAAATAAAGTAACATATTAATGCATAATACATACACAATATATACCCACATACATATATAAATAAATATAAAATATACATACTTTATATTATATTTAACGATTCAGAGAATCTGCTGACAGTTTTTTAAGGAAGTGCTTGCGAGTTTTCCTTTTAAATGCTGAGCGACTTTTAGCTGTCTTGATTTTGAGAGGCAGCGCGTTCCACAAAATAATGGACTGAACAAAGAAAGACGAGTGCATGAAACCAGTACCATGAGAAGGACATTGGAGAAGACGGTTATGTGTCGAGCGAAGATTTTTATGATGTATTGTACTAAGATATTGTAAATGAGGCGATAAATAAGACCGAGTAGAAATAGAATTTAAAAAAGCATAAAGAGTGGTTAGTGCTCTTAAAGAGCGGCGTTGGCGAATGGGTAACCACTGAAGTTGGGAACAATAGTGAGACACATGGTCATACTTACAAAGATTGAAAATGAATCGAATTCAGTTATTCAGAAGACGGTCTAGTTTGTTGAGGTGATCTGCATTCAGGTCAAAGTAGCCATAGTCGATTAAAAGAAGGATTAAGGACTGCACGAGCGTAGCTTTAGTTTTAGATTGTAAAAAATGTTTAAGCCTGTATAGGCAACGTAGAACACTCAATTGTTTCAATCATTTTATATTTTATTATAGAAAAGGTCTACATATATGAAAAGGTCTACATCTTATTACGCTTTTTGAAGTTTAAGAATTAAAAATGTATACAAAATTAAATTCTTTCAACTTTACAAATAAAACCATATAAATACTGTCGGTTTTGTTTTACCGCTACATCAGGGTAACCAGCTGATGATATACATAACCGAAAATACGCAATGTAGTTAGTATAATACACAGAATTTTGTTTTAATAACAAAATCATACTTACAGAAGGCATATCATCCTTTGAATAACAGCGGTATACGCAAATTTAATTTCAACAGCCGAAATAAAATGCTTTCATGTAATATGAACCGTACTCTACGAGAGAAGCACAGCGTAACGAAATAAAAGCCACTCATTTAGGTAAAACGTATTCGAATAACGGACGGTACGGTAGAATATTTAGGGTAGGAGGAATATCGCATTTGCGAAATTTATGCAGCTCGTTCCGGAACAAAACGGAGCGTAAATACAGGCAAGCTATTTTAAAAAAGGAACCGAGGCAAAGATGTCTGCGAAACTATCCAGGTACGGCACGGTTCATTAGTCGCCCGGGATCAAGTTCTCTTCATGAATGGGAACTTTTTAAACTTCCTCGTGGAAATGCAAAGAATCTCTTGACGTTCCGTTTGCTAAGTTTACATTGTATTCTCATTTTTTTAACTGAAACTGATTTTTTTAATGAAAATACTCTTAAGCTAATCGTATTGTACAAAAGCTTTATTGTTTATATGGAAAGTGATTTTCAGTCTCTATCAATATACTGTATACTTATTTTTTAAACAAAGACATTGTCCTTACTGTCGGACAAACACCCAGATCTGAAACAATTATCTGTCACACACAAATGATTGTCCCGTGTGGGAACCGAACCCCCGATTTTCAGCGCCGAAGCTAATTAACTTGGAAATTGCACCACGGATTCCTCCAAATATGGAATAGAACACTTGAGTTGTATGGAATACAATTATGTATGTTATAAAGATTTAATAACAAAACTATTAACGATAATCATAAAACTTGAACTTAATGCTAACAGCTAAGCTTTTCTCTAGTAGCAGAACATTAATAGTTTTTAGTGTCGATAATACTAGATACATGTTTAAAAACTTCGCCATTTGAAGTCTTAAGAAAAAGTATAAAAAACATTGTTTCTCTTAAGATTGATTTACAATTGTGTAGCTGTATCGAAATCGTTCCAAACAAGAACATCTCTTTTACCCAAGTCTCTGAGACGCAAACCCTAATGTTCTTTAAAATTTGTAAAAGAAAACCGTGGGTTCGATTCCCGCATCGATTCCCGCAGTGGCAAAAAACTTTTCGTCTTTTTCTCTACAAATTTTAACTTTTCATCTTAAGTGCGGGGATTAGCACGAAACAATTTTAAATCTTAAATTTCATTTTCAAAAACATTCCTTATTTACATATAACATGAACAACTAACGAAAGACTAACCTGACTCAGGCTGTCGCCTAGGCTGCCGTCGGCGTCGACAGGTCTGAACAGCTGGCTGGGGTCTTTAGTCTCTCGTCTCGGCTTGCGATCCTGGGCCTCTCTCATAGCTTGGCTCTGCAGTCGCTCGAAGTACTCCCGCGGCTTCATCGGCGGGGGCTCGTCATCGGGCGGGGGAGGCGGGGGCGGGGGCAGCCTAACCCGCGGCGAACTACGCAGAAGGGAGCGTTCGTCATCTTCTGTGGAACGCTCATCGTGATCGGAGTCCGAGCTTCGGCTGTCTCGGCGTCTCACGCCTTGAAGGTGCGGCTCCAGGAAGGTGGCATTCCTGTAAAGAAGGTTTTATATCAAACTTTCCATTCTACAAACCATTGACGATGGTATTTATAATTCAATCCAGTTTCTCCATTTTTATACTGACATTTTGACGGCCCTGATGTTTTTCTGAACGCGTAAAATTCTCATTCCCTTATCTATAGAAGAAGTTTCGGTCGGATTAAAGTTCCTTATTTCTAAGTTTCGATTTAACCTTTATCCATATACTAATAAAAATAAAAGAAAGTGGCTCAACAGATTTGAAAAGCAGTTTATATGGCCGAAACAATAAATCTTTATATTAAGTGATAACTACTGATCTACGTCTAAATAACATCCGTCAGCCTGTGCAAGTCTAATTAAATGCATTGGCAGATGTACAATGACGGCCTTAATGCAATTCGAGAGCGTTAACGGTAACTAATATGAAATCGATTTGTGTACATACAGCGATGTGCAACCCGGCACTGCACATAGGGGCCGGCTGACCAGACTAAAGGGACATTAACTAAGATTTATTTCCAGAACATGGCGCGCGTCGCGTATTAATTAAAAACCTCTGCGCGGGGGCTCGCTCTCGACACAAGTGCGTAGGACAATCTTTTATAATAATTGCCTTATTTATCGCTTATGTTATGTTTGCGGCTGCAAATGCAGTGTGTTTAGATGCCGTAATATTGGCAAATGATAATCATATTAATACTTTCGAGTTTCGTCTGGTGAGTGAGGTAGCCGGAGCCCAATTTTCAAAAGGTTGTCAACGCATCTGTAACCCTTATTCCCGGTATTCACTTAACATCAGGTCCGCTCGTCTTGCATCCCGCATCAACCGTCCGCTCGTTTGACAACTTTTCGCATAAGCACTATTATGTATTGAAATTAATGTCTCATTAATTTCAATACATGATAGTGCTTATTGATTACCGCACACCGATCCATAAACATTAATTTTATATAACATGATAATGTAACACACATTCCTGTTGAGAAAAATTATAAAAAATCTGAATCAAATGTTAAGTTTTTAAAACCGACATCACAAAACTCATTTGTCATGCACTTTTGGTAGGGCCACGCAACAGCTTCGGCTGTTGCACGAATGGGCAGAGCCGTCTGTGTAAGTACCACAACTTCACAGAAGACTAGCGTGAAATGGAAGTTTCATACTTCTGCGATTCGTCTGGTGAGTGAGGTAGCCGGGGCCCACTTTATTAAAAGGTGGCAACACATCTTCAGGTGGACCTGGTCTACTGTTTCATAACGCAATACAATGAGTATTTGTGCGTTAATTAATTTCTACGCTACAATGTGCTGCTGTGACCGTTCAGTAGCAGGCATAAAGCGTGGTATCTTTGCAAAAAAATAAAAAGAAAAGGGCGATAAATCCTAAAGATCCTAAAAATTGTTCCCCTCGAGGTGAGACGCGTCTAAATTGTTAATATTAAATAAACATTTTCCTTGAACTATCAAAGGGGTTAACTAATCGTTTCTCGTATGCTCCATATGGGAAAACTGTACCGACCTGTTCTGTCTGTTGACGTGGAAGTGACACCCAATTTGTCGTGAAGACCCTCCCCCCCATCATCTCAGCGCCGCTAACGAGAATATCGTGTGACGGACTCCCCGGACATCGATTACCGTCGCGCGGTTTAATTGTTATGCAAATGATACATTGCGTCGCGCGGAATTGAAGCCGAAAAGTTTTTGCATAAACAGTTGTGTATCTCTATACTATACTAACACATGTCGACAGGAAAAGTATATGTTATTTACGTATCAATATTACTGTTAAGTACGGTTCTACGTACTGCATCGTCTAAATTCATCTTAAATAAGTTTTTATTGAGGCATAATAGTCGGTGGTACTTTATAGTAGTATGTTATATGTATACTACTCTCAGAAATGAGAATTAGCGCTTAGCTCATATTAATGTGAATTATATCATACATGGAGTATGGTTTAAGGTTGCAAATGAAGTAGCTTGAGTAGTGCTCATTTGCTTTTTAGCTTCTTTAAGTCCAACCGTTGTTGTTTAGACTATACTTAAGACGTCAATTTAAAATAACAATTCAATGTCACCACCTGGAGGGTAGCATTTAATATTAAATGTTTAATATTACATACCTATATATGTATAATATGTATTTATTTAAAAAATATGTTTAAGTATTAGTTGTTTATCAGAGTTGTTTATCCGTTTTATAGTAGCCATAGTACAAGCGTTGTGTTGTTTTAAAACTTTCTGCTAAAAGTTTGATAACGCTTCCGCAAATTGGCAATGATATTGTATCAGTTTTAATTAAGCAATGGTGCAGCATTTATACGACCTGTGAACGTTTTGCCACAAAGTATTCTAAAGATCGGAAAAAATACGGTAAAATAGATTCGCTTAATACTATACTAGCGACCCGCCCCGGCTTCGCATGGGTGCAATGGATTATACATATGAACCTTCCTCTTGAATCACTCTATCTAGTAAAAAAAAAACGCATCAAGATCTGTTGCGTAGTTTTAAAGATCTAAGCATACATAGGGACAGACATCGGGACGACTTTTATACTATGTAATGATATTTTGTTTAATATTATATTGTAGCTTATATTGAAAAAACAAACGACGCGCGATGGATCTGTCCACATGTGACCTCAGCAGGGCCTGACGACAAATGGGTGACGTCACACACCCCCTCGTTACGCCGGCTGATGACCACCGTTATTAATAACGCCATAACTCCGCGTCGACTTTGTCGCAGGTGTACCGATGGACAGACTAATTAGATTTTCATGGGACGCCACGTGGTGCCGCGCTTTAAATTTCGAACGATACATCGTTTGTAACTTGACCAGAATTAATACCCGTCTGTGAACTCTTGGAGACAAGTGTTACCCAATTATGGACAACTTTTAAGGAGAGGTCATTCGATGAATTAATAATATGTAAAAAGTAAAAAAGAAGCGAGCGGTATCGTGGGCAGCAAAGTTGATATATTTTTTTCAATAACATAATTAACCATAGAATCGTCATAATAAATAGGTATGTAATATCTATTAATATACATTTTTATAATGTATTTATAAAAGTAACCATTTCGTTACAAAAAAATTTAGTCTGCATAACATTTTTAGCATTTCACATGTCGCTATTCGCTAACTATCTTGTTAAAGAAATGTAATGAATGCGTAATAGTGGGTATTAGTGTAAATATATCTTACGTAAAGTGTCAAGACAGCTGTGTATAAAAGAATAAATGTATATTCTTTTTTTTATATTATTTTTTCTGTAACCAATCTTTTATTTAGTAAAGTATTACATATGTATAAATGGTAGATATAGTTATTTTTCTGCCTAAATGATGGCAAGGATAGATTATATTAAATTTAAGAAACATTTATTTTCAAGGCGCATTTAATATAAATTCTTGTTTGGAATAAACAACGTCGTCCTAAAAGGGCAAATAAAACCTAAAACCGAAATAAAGAGCTTTTGTCCCTTCGGATAGTTAAAAATTTCGCTAGAGGGCACAGCGACGTTTTCGTTAAAAAGATCGTATAAATTGACGGGGAATAATTTTCCTTTTATTAAAGTACCCCAAGGCAAATAATGCCGTCCGATGTTGGAGATATAAGGATGGCGAGCCCATCTTTCAACCCTGCGAATGTGTCTGAATCTGTTGTATTGTTTGTGGGCCCTGCGACACCCCTAATGGTGTACTTTTGTTTTTCTTCATTTAGCTCACGCCCGAGGCCCTTACCGTTGTTTCGCTACACAAAAGAATTCCAGTCTCTTTCGTGCAGCTTTGGGTTAATTCCGTGTAATTGAGATTTTATTACACATTCTACGATTCTATATGATATTTTGTACGCTTCAGTCTGTGTATATATGCTTTAATGTTATATCTTTATGCATAATGTGGTAGGGCCACGCAGTAGTCTCCGCAGTTGCACGAATGGGCAGGTCTGTCCGGTTAAGTACCACCACCTCACAGAAGAACGGCGTGAAATGGAAGTGATAACACTTTGTTTATGTTATTACTCACCAGACGAAACGCGGACGTATAAACATCCGCGTTTCGTCTGTGAGATAGCCGGGGCCCAATTTATTAAAAGGTAACGCATCTGTAACCCTACGGGTGTTGCAAATATCAATGGGCGGCGGTTATCACTTAATATCAAGTAAAATGCCAGGTTGCTTGTCACCTTCTGATGTTAAAAAAAATTAATATCATGAGATCGACATTAAATGAAAATGTCAATAAATGGAAAAGCAAAACCGAATTAATCAAGTTATTATTACTAGTAGGGCTACGCAGCAGCTTTTACTGTTGCATGAACGGTCAGGCTCATCCGGGGAAGCACCTCCAGCCTCATAGAAGACCAGCGTGATGTGAAAATATGTATTATATTTCCCCGTTTCATCTGATGAGTGAGGTAACCAGGGCCCTAATTGAAAGGTTGTCAACACATTTACCAGCCCTCACTCAGGTATTACAGTTGTCCATGGGCCGGCTCGCTTAACAACTTTTCACAAAAAAAATACCACAAGTATCTCCTCTAAGTATCTCTCTCACAAATTACAGCTCGAAAGTTCTTTTCTCTATATGGTGGATGGAGCATAATTAAAGTGTGTTTGCTGAACATTATTTAGAAAATCATTTTACAGAAATAACAATATTTTTGGCACAATCTGCAAACAATACATCTATTTAAACGTGTACTCTTGACCTTTAACAGTCTTTTCTCTGTTGAGCAGCGAGACAAAACATTTTTGCAGCTTTCTCAGAACTACACGTCGAGTTCTCTTCTTAAAACCGAGAACAATGCAGAGTTGCACACTTCGCGAGCGTTGTGCCGCCTGACCTATATTTTACTTTAAAAAATGTACAATAACAACGCCGATTAGTTTCATATGCATCGCAACAATACCTTTTGTGCAAAACGCTATAAATAATAAAAATAAAGGGGGTATATGAACAGAGCAAGTCTTGTCGTTAAGTAGAGCCGTTTGTAACCAAACTTTTTCATTGAAAATGTTGCGTATAAAGTATTAAACTTTTAATGATCAAACGATAGATAAACGTTTATTTACTGTTTCCCATACTTATTTACAATACTTTATATATACGTGTTTACTATATATAAAGTATGTTTTATGTCGATCCCGATGTGTATATTATTGACACATTTTTGTCTTATGTACGGTGAAAAGGTTCAAGTTTGGGATGTAATGATCCCCGTTAAATATTAATTGATAACCGCCGACGTAGGGTAGTGGGACCATATATATACATGTTTTACAAAGCTTATTAAGATGAAAACTGTAACAGGTCATCGTACAGTAAACCTAAAAAGCTTGTAGACGATATAATAATACGATTTATATTAATAAAAGAATTAGCTACGTATTTCCTAGACAAATACGTATGACGTGTACATCATTCGATTTGGATGCATTTAAGTCGCACTACGACGTAGAGGCCCGAACAAGCATCGCTACGAATGGCGTCCCTGTAGCTACGAGTGAGCCGGTGTCGGCTGAAAACTGTCGTTCAGCGGCGCGTGAATGCCATTGCAACGGTCACAAAGGCCCGTCCGCTGGCGGAGCCAATAGAATACTGAATAGACTGCGTGCTCTTGACTCTCCGCTTCTGAGGGGAACGTTCCCGATTGTATCTGGCGGCTGGAATTTATATAGTTCGCGGCGGGACTTCCAGCTACGTCGGGTTAAGTAAAGTATTTTCAATGAAAAATAGCGTTTTTACTAAGCTGAAGCGCAGAATACTTTACGGCTAGGAGAAATTGGTTGTATTTTGTTTGTGGTGTATTAATGGATGTATCTGATGGTTACGGTTGGAAGATGAATTTGAAGAAAAAATAAAGATAATGAATGAATTAATTAAAATAATTATAACCAAACGATATTTTATAACGTGATAATTTAAATCAATACAAATGGAAATAAAAAGGATTGTAATTATTTTACTAAAAGAGTAAAGAGTAGCCATTATGTATCCCACTGCTGGACACAGCCCTACTCTGTGCAGAGAGTATTAGGGCATAATCCACCCACATGAACACACTGCGGATTGGCGGACTGCTTTGATTTTTAGTTATTATTTCGAAAATATGCAGGTTCTCTGACGACGTTTTCCTTCACCAATGAACACGTGATAAGCCACCAAATAAAAATTTCATTGGTGCCGTCGACACAATTTAAACTCAAGTTGCTAGAGTATATTAAAAAGAGCCCAGAAATCAATGTCTGAGCTGTCTTTATTGAACAGCTTATTGCAATATATAATGTAAACATATTAACTTACTGTGATCTAAAAAAAAGTTGAAACAAGCCCAAGCAAACCTTTCTTTGTTTGTAATCATTTATTTCATGTAGTAACTACTAATGTTTCTTTACTATTTTTTTTTATATTTGCGAGTACTATTGTACTATTATTCAATTTTAAATTCAATTTTTTTACGCATATTGTAAACTAAAATTGATAAATAAATATGACATGTGCGACGCATGTTTTATTACATGTTGAACATTAAATTTTCGTTATTAGATAATTGATTTGCGCAACCGAACCGACTAAAACAGAAAAATAAAACATCTTGCAATGGTTTCCATTACATAAAGTAAGTTTATCAAATATCATTATAACAAGGTTTATCAAATATCAGGTGTCGGTTATTTAATTAACGAATGACTGACGATAGACTATTACTCATTGTTCTAGGCGCTCACTGTTATATACAAAAGACTATCGGGTAAAAGGCGCCGGCCTACGTACTGCCCACCGAGACATTCGTCATTCC